ACATTTTTTTATTACAGGTATTTATATAGCGCTGACAATTTACTCAGCACTTTACACATTATACAGTCACATCAGCCCCTGCCCTCAAGGTGCTTACAATCTAAGGTCCCTATCTCACTTAAATACATATACTAGAGCCAATCTGGGCAGGAGTCAATTACTTACCAGCATGTCTTTGTAGTGTGGGAGGAAATCACCAAAGCACAGGGAGAACTCCATGCACATGCAAACTCCATGCAGTTGGTGTCCTGGTTGGAATTTAAACAGAGGATCACAGTGCTGCAAGGCAGCAGAACTAGGCATTAAGCTACTGTGATGCCCCACTGAATACTGTAGATGCCAATATTCACAGCAACAGGATATAAATCATAGTGTTCTGCCTGCCAGAAATGTACTGTGGGATATGGAGGACTGCTGTACATTGTGGTGCACTACATTTGCAAAAATGGTGCATGTGATGTTAAAATGTAAAAAGTATCATTCACATAGTACTTAAACAATTGCTGTTTTGTTTTAACGTCAATGCCCTCCTTTCTGAAGAATAAACAACTAGACAATCCTCCAACAATTGCACCTACAGGGTGGCTCGATTGCCTTGCAGGGTCTCCCTGGAGCCACCTATATATGTGCACTTCTGTGATTACAGCTGTACACGGAAGCTAAAACACATAGATTCCTCTGTAAACCGCAGTGCTATTCCGCCCAACACTTCTGTGTAATTTGAACAGTGCTGAACTTTTGGAGTTTATACAACATTGTGGATGACAGGGGTCATCTTTAATAAGCTAAGAAAATGTTTGTGAGCAAAATAAGATAAAACAAAAAAACCTGCTATTAAAAGTGATCCAGAGGGAAAACAGAAATAAGGCTCGAGGGTTTTAATGCTACATTAGGGAGGACCTTGCAGTAAAAGATAAGGCCCACTGATACAGTACAAACTCTTTTCCCTGTAAAATTCAACTGCTGTTAATAGATGTATTAGGTTACCTGTAAAGAAAAAATATATATTTTTTACCTTCACTTACCCCCATCTTCCTCCCATGGCACCTACGCAAAGATGACATCAAACTGCAGCCTGCCACGATTCTTGGAAATACAATGCAGCCGAGAATCTCATGAGAAGATGCTCTTGCAATGGACTGCAGTGTCTTTAGGCAAGATTTGACCTGCTTTGCATTCCCCCACAATCTTCCTGGAAACACAGTGACTAGGGATGAGCATGGGTTTGGTCCGAAATTATGTTCAGATCACACCCGGAGGTAAATTGTCACTATTGCCAAATCAGTGCCCAATCAGATATTGCCAGCACATTCCCCACTCCTCAACTGCATGTAACAAAGGGACAGGGATGCTTATGACAGCAATGACCTAATATCGCCTCTTGGCCAAATATGAACAATGTCATTGACCAAATGTGGCCATACTAAGTCTATAATGTCAGACGCATCCCCATCCCTTTGCTACATGTGGTTGAGGGGTGAGGAATGCCCAGGCCATGGCTAATTGAGTGCTTATCTAGTGGGAATGACAGATTGGGACTCATTAGGGACTAAAGCCACCAGGTAAGTATTCAATTGTGGAAGCATGTTGCATGTGCAGTATGTTGTATGCAGTGACCCCCACACTCTGTACATTACATTCCTAACCCCTGCCCTATGTACGTTACATACACCTGACACCCAAGCACTTTATGTTACATTCCTGACCCCTGCACTATGTACGATACACACACGTGACCCCCACATTCTGTACATTACATTCCTGACTTCGGAACTATGTATGTTACATACACCTGACCCTTGCACTATGTACATTACACACACCTGATCCCCACACTCTGTACATTATATACCTGACCCTGCACTATGTACATTACACACACATGACCCCCACACTGTACGTTACACACCTGACCCCCTCACTCTGTAAATTACATACCTAAATCCTGCACTCTTTATGTTACATACCTGACCCCTGCACTATGTACGTTACACACACCTGATCCCCACACTCTGTACATTATATACCTGACCCCACAATCTGTACATTACATAACTGAACCCTGCACTATGTACATTACACACACCTGACCCCCACACTCTGTACATTACATTCATAACCCCTGCCCTATGTACGTTACATACACCTGACCCCACACACTTTATATTACATACTTGACCCCTGCACTATGTACGATACACACACCTGATCCGCACACTCTGTACATTACATACTTGACCTGGGAACTACGTATGCTACATACACCTGACCCTTGCACTATGTACATTACACACACCTGACCCCCACACTCTGTACATTACATACCTGACCCCTGCACTATGTATATTACACACACCTGACCCCACAATCTGTACATTACATTCCTGGCCCCTGCACTATATACATTACACACAGTGTGTTGCATTTGACATAAATAAATGGCTGTTTTATTATTTTTTTCTCAGACTTACAGTACATAAAAGGATCTGTTTGTTTGTCTTAGAAACAGAAATCATGTAACATAGTTACATAGTTAGTCTGGCTGAAAAAAGACAAAAGTCCATCCAGTTTAACCATTAAAAAAAAAAAAGTTATAATCCTACACCCACAGTTGATCCAGAGGAAGGCAAAAAAAAAAAAAAACCCAGCAAAGCATGATCCAATTTGCTCCTGCAGGGAAAAAAAATCCTTCCTGATCCCCTACTCCCTGGATCAACTTTACCTATAAATGTTAGTATCCAGTTATATTCTGTGTATCTAAGAAAGAATCCAGACCTTTTTTAAAGCAAGCCACTGAGCTGGTCAGAACCAACTCTTGAGGGAGTCTATTCCACATTTTCACAGCTCTCACTGTGAAGAAACCTTTCCATGTTTGGAGATTAAATTTCTTTTCCCCAGATGTAAAGAATGCCCCCTTCTCCTCTGTGATGACCTCAGGGTGAATAGCTCTACCCGAGTTCACTATATGAACCACTGATGTATATATACATGTTGATCATATCCTCCCTTAATCTCCTCTTCTCAAGAGAGATTAAATTCAGTTTCTCTAATCTTTCCTCATAGCTGAGCTCCTCCATGCCTCTTATCAGTGTGGTCGCCCTTCTCTGTACTTTCTCCAGTTCCCCAATGTTCTTTTTGTGAATTGGTGCCCAGAACTGAACTGCATATTCCAGATGAAGTATTTCTAATGATTTGTACAGGGGTAATATGATGTCTCTCTCTCTGGAGTATATACCTCTTTCAATACAAGAGAGGATTTTGCTCGCTTTAGAAACCACAGCTTGGCATTGCATGCCATTATTAAGCTTGTGATCTACCAGATCCTTCACCACCATTGATTCCCCAGTTGTACCCCCCCTAGTATGTATGATGCATGCATATGCTTAGCCCCAAAGTGCATAACCTTACATTTATCTACATTAAACCTCATTTGCCAGGTTGCTTTTGAATGTTTGTGTGGACTTCTCAAACAAATGCCTTGGTAATAATTATACACAAGCTATGTTCTACAACAATGAGAACTTAGATACCATTGTTGTATGCTGGGCTCTTCTATTGTTCTACGTTTAATTATGTAACTGACATCAACAAGTCAAGTTGATCAATGGTTAACAATAGCTTGACCTTCTGACATATATGACCTATGGCATGTATGATACCACAGTGCCATCCAGAGGTCAAGTTGGAGAATGTTTCTCCCATTGAAAAAAAAGTAATGCGAAAGTATAAGCTCATGTGGGATTGGTTACCCAAAACTTTTCAAATAAAAAGTCATCAGGTTAAGCTGACAGAAGTACTCTAAGATAACTTAACACCAAAGAAGGTCTCTGCCAGAACCTAAAGAAGCTATTAGCGCAATCTCTTGCAACCGTTTTAGAGCAAGCCTAGGGTCTGCGTTGCCTACAGAGATTGTGTAGTCTCTATAATCGTAGCTAAGTAACTTTTACTATTGTATACAGAACACAGTTTAGCAGGGAAGTAGGTAGCATTTTGCTTGTTATAGGTATATCTGTCACTCTTGTGTGTTTCCTATAATTGTAGTAGTTTGTATGGTCAGCATTTTTTGTTTAGTAAAAGCATATTAACTGCTTCCACGCCGCCCTATAGCAGAAATGCTGCTACAGTGTGGCATGGGTGCACAAACTCCTGTATATATACGTGATTTTGCAGCGCGGGTAGGGTAGTCTCTACCAGCGCTGCCATTCGCGGCTTTAGCTGTCAGTCACTGGGTCCTGGCCAGTGATTTCTCACCAGCACCTGGTGATTGCCAAGTATCTCAGACGGGGGGAGAGACCATGTATAAACAACACAGATCTCTCCCTGCACACTGCTTAATATGGCTCTTCATAGCAAAGACATACAAAGCAGTGTGCTTACAGTGGAAAGCACTCACACAGCACACAGTTAACCCCACATGTTAACCTCTTCCTGCCAAGTGCCATTAGTACAGTGTCAGTGCTTTTTATTAGCACTGATCACTGTATTGGTGTCACTGGGGATGTCAGTAACACCAAGTCAGTTCCCCCCAGTGTCAGAATGCCCGCCGCAGTCCCTTAGTCCTGCTATAAGTCACTGATCGCCACCAATACTATTAAAAAAAAAATTCCAGTATATACAGCGCCATTTATAAATGCTATTTCCACATAAACCAATTAATTTACACGTATTGGGATTTTTTTTTAGCAAAGACATGTTGCAGAATACATTTTGGCCTAAATTTATGATGAAATTTGATTTTTTTTTGTCTGGACATGTTTAATAGCAAAAAGTCAAAATTATTGTTTTTTTTTCTCACAATTGTTGGCCTTTTTCTGTTTATAGCGCAAAAAAAAAAAAAAAAAACTGCACAGGCGACCACCGAAAGGAAGCTCTTTTTGTGGGAATAATAAAGACATAAATTTAATTTGGGTGCAGCATTGCATGACCACGCAATTGTCAGTTAAAGTAATGCAGCGCCGTATTGCAAAAAATGGCCTGGTCAGGAAGGGGGGTAAATTCTCAGGATGGCAAGTGGTTAACCCCTTCACGACTAAGGGTAAAACAAATCTAAATGCCTAAGCACAATTTTGCAACGTTGACATTTGTTAGTAAAACCGAACATATCATCACAACTACTTTGTACATACAGGTGAATTATAGCACGTTTTTTTTCAGGACAAAGTGGGCTTTCATTTGGTGGTAAATGGTAATGGATATCTCCTGATTTTTTTTTATTATCAAGAGAAAACTGGCCCAAAATAGTAAAAAAAAAAAAAATCATTTTTTTTTATGTAGCTGTGTGTTTCTTGTTACTACCATAACCTACCAACAAAGAACAACCCAAAATAAATTCTCCAGCTCTTGACAATTGCAGTGATACTATATATGTGTATGTTATTTGTTGTTTGTACCCATAGTACAGCCCAGAAACAATAGTGCACATTTTGTTGTTGTCTTTTTTTTTTACAAAACACACTGACACTGACACCATTTTTTTAAAATCCTGACCTTTTGACCTTTTGAGACCTTTTGACCTTTGACCCTGACCTTGACCCAAACACTAGTGGCACTGAACAGATCAAACCTTGATTAGGTATTTTGTCTTTTTTTTTTTTACACAAACATTTTTTTTTCACTTAGACACCAAAGTTTTACGGCCCGGGGGTCGGTTTAATCTCTGTGTAATGTGGCCCTCCCACAGCCCTTTTGACCTTTTGACCCTGACCTTTTCTGACCTTTGAGACCCTGACCTTGACTGCACCGCGCTGGGAGCGACAGAGGGCGGTGACGTCAGGGCCGGGCTTCCAGCGTAAGTGTGTTTCTCCCCCTGGCTGCCGACTGAACTAGATCAAACCTTGATTCTAGGTAAGTTTTTTCTTTATTTTTTGTGAATATTTATTTAATATTATAAATCTTTTTTTTTTTGCATTTAAAATTTTTTTTTCTCCACCATGTTCACTTCATACTAGGTTTGGAGTTAGAGAGATACAATGTATCTCTCTTCTCCATTCATAGAGAGAGAACAAAATAAGGGGGGCGGGCTGCACAATGACTGATCACTGTGATAGCCAATCAGAGGCTATCACGGCGATCATGTGACCCGGAATCGGGAGTCCCGGGTCCCGATCGTTAGAACGGGACCCGGGGCTCTCAGTGACACCGTGGTCTTTGTACTGGGAGTGTGCTGTGCGGCGCGCTCCCAGCAAAAAGACAGGTACACAAATATGCGGCCCCATGGAAAAAAGCCCAGTTCCAGGAGCCCGCATATTTGTGTGACGTCGGCGTCAAGGGGTTAATATAACACATAGGTCTAAGCTTCCTTGCTTATAATACAAAGTAACCTTACTAGACACCAAAGCAAAACACACAGCTGACCCCACAATCTGTACATTACAAAGCTGACCCCTGCACCATGTACGGTACACACACCTGACCCCCACACTATGTACTTTACCTAACCTGGACCCCTGCACTATATATTTTGGACCCCTGCACCCCACCCTGGACCCCTGCATGCACTACATATCTTACCCACCCAGAACATCTGCACTATGTAGTTTTAGGCCCCAATGTTAGCTTAATTTTGCCACACCTACTATTGGCCCATAGCACACAACTACTAGCCCCAAACACCACCTCACTTCACCCACTGCTCTGCCCCCATGCTCAAGGTATGAGTACTTTGAACTGTACTATAGAACCCACCTTAAAGCCAGCACTGGCAGCTCATTGAATATAAATGGGCTACCTTATTGCAATGCGCACTGACATACGAAATAACACACGTGCAATATTGCACTACAACACTCTGGATGTAAACCTCAACATTTTTAGGCAGAGAAAACATAACAGAAAACAAATACAATTTACCAATATTCCAGTTACTGTGGCAGATGAGACCAAGTGGGAAAGTAAATAAGGACTAGGCCCCACACAGGAAGGTTCCACTTCCATTTGTTGATAGTTGATATAGATCTGCATTCCACATATTTGCACTTTGGCCATTGTACCCAGATCTATTTCCTGCAAGCCTTTTGGGGCTACGCTCATTACCATTCAAATGCTTCCTTCGCTCTCTGGTGTCCTAACTTGGGAGCCTGCAAATGTCTGACCCAGTTGGGGCCCTGACATTCCTAACACAATACTGGCTTTTTGCCCAGAACTACCAAGGAAACGGGGCAGGCAGGAATCATTTGAAATCTCCCTAGCTATTGCAAACACGGGGCCATAACGCTGTGTTTATAGCTAAGAAAAATCTAGCTGGATGTAGATAGCTATATATTAGAGAACCTTCAGCAGTAGAACATAATGATTTTGGGCAGCTGCCATAGCTCTTCTGCAGCCGCTTCCTCTGCACTATTTATGATGCAGCAAGACTCAGACTAATATTGATGTGATGCAAGGGAAGATTCCTGTGCTAAATACAGAGATTTGCATTTCAAGGGCTTGCAGTAAAGTCGCTGAGATGAGATGAAGCAGGTTTGATTTTTTTTTTTTTTTTGTTTTTGCTTCATTTACTGTATGTGAGGTTCTAGTTGATGCCGTTTAAAAATTTGCATATTTTTTTTCACAACAGAGCAAGTTAATCTACGTCCCCCTGGGTTTAGTTAACTGACAACAGAGCATCTTTTTAACATAGCGAGGTGATGTGTCTAATGAATTCCAAAATTAGAAGGCCCATAATACTGTTCAGTGTTTCCCCAGAGGCACTTTCCATTCCAGGGAAGACTAATGGTTGCTTCAAGAGAGGCCAGTGCAGCATTTGGAAGTGAGAAAAGCCCAGTGTGCTGCACTTCACATATTCTGCAGCTGCAGAGGAGTATGTCAGGGAGACTGCGGTTGCTATGGGAACTCAGGATGCTGAGCACAGTAGCACACACTCAGGATGTTCCTTCTCAGCTCTGCAAATGTTTAACCCTATGTGTATCACAGCAACTCTACAATCTGGAAGAAAAAACAAGACGTTCCACTATTTTTTTTAAGTAAAAAGGATAGAAAAAAGTTTCAGTCTTTAAAATTCTTTCAGTATGCATTTTTTAAGTGACACTAAACTATGATTTAAAAAAATCTATTCAAGTGCAAATTCTTTACTCAAAAAAAAAGTATCTTCTATTGCTCTCAGCCTCCTCCAAATATCAAAATTCTTTTTGTTTACTACTGTGATCTGACTTCCTGCTAGACGGTGGATATTTTCATTCTCCATGCTCCCAGTGTATGTAGGAATGTGGTGTCCTTCTTTTGCTCGCTCCCGAGAAGGACCAGGTATTATGGCAAACTTTATAAACAAAGGCCTAGTTTACTGTCCTTCAAACTTTAGGGGGACAGATGGTGGCTAATCGGAGTAGAAAATGTTTTAACATAAGTGGAAGTAAACAATACCTCAAGCTTGGTTGTCAAGGTGAATAAAATTACATTGTTCCTCTAGTTAATAGGAGATGGAATAGTGCCCTATCATTGGTATAAGTTGGAGGAATAATGCCCCATCATTGGTAGAAGTAATAGTGTTCTATTATTAGTATTAGTTGGAGGAATAGTGCCCCATTATTAATATTAGTTGGAGAAATGGTGCCCCATCACTGGTGTCAAGGTGAAGGATAGTGCCCCATCGTCGTTGTCAGAAGTAGGAATTATGCCCCTCTGTTGGTGTCCAGTAGGAGGAATAGTGCCTCATGACAGTGGGAGAAATAGTGCCCAGATAAAGGCAAGTGAAGAGCCAGATCTGGCCCACTGGACATAATTTGAAGACCACTGAACTATGGGATGTGTAATATCATAAGATACAACTAACTTATGAGTTCTATTTTTCCTGGCCACTTCATGAACGCATACTCATGGGTCAGCTCTGACCTCTGACCTCTCCTTAGAACCATCCTACCATTACATAACTCCAAGGCGAACACGACCATCCTTGTTTTCTCTTTGTCCTTGCTCAAAGACTTCTCCACTACTTGTCTTCAAGTTACCATAAAAATGCAAGATCAAGGCAAAGTGATTTCTTGGGATTCATTTTATATTGTTCCTACACAGGTTCAGCCTCTCCTGCAGTGAAGGACTGAGGTGTTGAAGGCAATCCTACTGATCCTGCAGTGCCATGGTGCCTACGCATGATTATATGAGGCCTAAATGGCTGCATAGTGCTAGTATGTGGTTAAAACAGGTGAAATTTTTTTTCTTGTTGGAAGCGATTTCCATTGGAAGCTTATACTGTTGCCTTGCTCTCTCTTCTGGTTCTGTGTTGGGTTGTGTGATGAAACCAAACAAACATAGTTGAGCTCACCAGCATCTGCCCTAGTTTGGAGATGCCAGCCATGGAGGGTGTAGCGATCATCCCTGCGGTTATTTGTTTCGCTTTGTGTCCAGGTGGAGTATTCTGTTCCAGGGTACTATTTTGCCTAATCTTTCTGCCTTTATTTCTATTGACTGGTGCTTGGTCTTCTACCCTTGCTAAGTATTCTCTAGACAGTCCTGTGTGGTACCCTGTATCTCTGTCTCTCCTGTGCATTTCTGCCTCTCTGGTTTTTTTTTTCCTTCTGTGGTAATCTTGCTTTCTGTTCTTGTTTCTCACTGGTCAGCTTTGCAGTGTGTGTCAGCCTGATATCTCTCTTGCACCTGAGGCACTGAACCTTCTGCATGAGAGGTAGAAAGGCAGGACAAATTTTGTGCAAGAAGAGGCAAGATAGCATAGAGAGGCTAATTGTGATCACTGTCCTTCAGGGTTGAGGACTTTGGGATCAAAGCATCAGTCAAGGGGTCATTCAAGGTCTCCAAGATCTTCTAGGTACTGTTCTAAAATACAGTCTCACCACAGATTGCCAGCCTCTCACAGATAAGGTTTCACCCTGCCACAAGTCACCTTCATTATGTCCATCTAGTAGGTCTGATGAATTTTTGAAGCTTCAGCATTACCTTCTAAGCTCATTTGTGATTTATTCTTCAAGGGGTGTACAATGAATGAGTCTCAAGAGCTATGCTCTTACAAACGGCAGGCTGTTCAATAGAGAATGCAACCCTATATGGCAGCAAGCCGACCTTCAAGATCACCACGGCTAGAGAGGGAAGGTCAATCAAACTCAGCAAGTCCCAGGAGTTGGAGGATTAAATACTAGAACCATGTGTCTTCAATTTTGCTCTAATTCCACCATATGTTGCTGCTGTGAAGTACACGCTGGAATGAATGTACCAGTCTGCACCAGCCCAGACAGTTCAAGTACTACCCAAGCCTTAAGATATCTGTGCCTTACTTTCAACTTATTCCGAAATCAAATAGCTTATCGAAGCAGAGTGGAATTGCATAGAGAAGTGGTTGTCTGTCCAGAATGGGTTTGAGAAACTCTATTTTTTCTGCTCTAAGAACTCTTCCCTATGAGATTTTACTGCTAAGGTGGATGCCTCTTTGACTAGTGCAGCACCATGGCCCTAGATAACTCTGTGCTTTTTAAGGACCCGATGGAGTGTAGAATGGATGCCAACCTGAGAAAATTTACTTTTTGCCAGGTTTGGCCTGCAGGCCATCTAAGGTTTTAGTGTCAGTGGCCAAGTCTTTAAAGAAATAGACTGATAACGTTTAAGTGGCATTTAAATTCTAAGTAGATAGAACACAAACTGTTAAGGCTTTAAAATAATTGAAATGTTCAACTGACTGCTGCTGTGCCAGTTGATATTGTGAGCATTTCTTCACAACTCATGATGCACTGTGAATGCTAAAAGAGCTCTCTGGTTGAAACATTGAGAAACAGACACCTCCTCTAAATGTCTTTGTGTTATTTCCTATAACAGCAAAGCCTCAGTCATAAAGACATTGGAAGAGACCATCCAGAGAGCTACTTGAGGCAAGTCTTGTCTGATTCCCTAGGACAAGAGGAAGATACAACAGTCCTTCCAGTCCTGGTGCTTTCTATGCCAGTTCAAGGCAACAAGAACATACAGGCTTCCCTTTGGTCTGGTGACACCCGAAAACCTTTTCAAAGGTGTTGTTGTCGATAGTGGAACTTCTTTGCTTACAACACCTCCAAGTTTCTAATTACATGGGTGGCATCCAAGTACTAGCAAGTTCTCTGGCAGTGTTCCTGTTTCCCAGGGATACACTTCTATGCACTCTAGTGGATTTTGGGTGGCTAATAAATCTGGACACGAGTCAGCTAGCTCCATGATGAGAATCACAGCTACAATGGCAAGATTTTGTATGTCTTTCCTGGGGAAGCTATCAGCTACAACACTGTTGTTCTGGTCAAGGTGGCATTACAACCATCTATCACTTATGTTTTCATGAATCAGTCACTGTCTCAATGGATTTGGCTCCCCTAGCTGTGATTTGCTGTGGAGGACAGTTCCCCAGAGCCTGTCACAAGGAAAGCCTCTGAATCATGGTGCTTGGACCATTCTTACAACAAATGCTGGGGATGGGACACACAATGCTAGGACTATCAATTCCAGGAGCAGTGGCAACACCAGCCTTCCTGATATTCCAACATACTAGAGCTGAAAGCAACTCCTGTTTCTGAAATGGTGTTGGTGCTCCAAGTACTGGAAAAGTCTCCATCTGGAATCTTACACTAAAGGTTGCTTTCTTGTTAGCAATCAATGTGGTCAGAAAAGTGCTGGAGTCAAATGCTCTTTCCTTTAAAAACCCTTTCTGTCATGTCCTGCAAGAGTCCCAAAGTTTCTGAATTCAGTTTCTGGGCTTCCCCCTCTGGAAGAATTGAAAACTCATTCCACTAGCAGTGTGTCATCATCATGGCCATCATTACCAAAATTGTCTTTAGAGGTGATTTCCATGCCTGCTTGTTGGTGTTCTCCCACCACATTCATTAGGCATTACTCAGTGGGGGTCTTTACCTCACCTTCACTTACTTTCAGTGCAATGGCTTTGTTGCCTATTCATCCATCTAATTAAAGTTTATCAGCAATTTTTTGATTCTGTGTTTTGCAGTAGGTTGCCTTGCATTACATTGTCATGTTCTTCTTTTTCCTAATGGGTATTGCTATCTATACACCATGAGTATGGAGGCATGAAAAATGAAAATTATTTTTTGTGCTATAGTGTGCTTAATTTTCCTTTCCTGGCCAGTTCTCATGTCAGCATACATTCCATCCTAGGTCATCTGTTGCAAGTCTAGCTATTGAACATGAAGGGTTAGGTTGGTTGTAGATTTATGCTATGGTTGAAAGTACTAAGGTGGGGTCAGAGGGTGAAGATGACTCTTGAAAATGCTGATATGAGTATTAGCCAAAAAAGGAAAGTTATATAAATGATAGAAAAAAATATTTCCCATTATTTAGGTCCCTATCTTGATCCCACCATATTTGCATTTTTTTATATTATGGCTTGTATACTATCTTTAACTTCTGCTTTCTACAGGTGAACTTATATAGTTATTTCCTCCCCAGCATTACCTTCCCTGGCCCATCGCTTTCATTTAAGTCTTTAGTCATGGAGGCTCAGCAACACGTGGGCTTCACCTAAGACAGTCTGCATGTAAATGCAATCTGCCTAGGAATGCCCA